CCTCTCCGGGCTGTGCTGCGAGCACGGCGAAGCTGCCGAGATTAAACGTTAACGCGGACCCCTTCGTTTAGTCGTGTCTTAGCTAAGAGTACCGATGGAGTAGGCCTAGGTGCCAAACTACATTTGGGTTTCCAGTATCTACTTTTCTATTATTCACACAGATCTCAGCCAAATATTTTAAAGCCAAAACCATCAGGCTGCATCTAAAACCGACCGACCGACGCCGCACGGGAGCATCGATCAACTGAAAGTGCAGCGCCCTGTGCCAATCCGAAAAGTCTAAAGGCGGATACTTACTGGAAATGCGCATTACTATTAGAGACTTCCCTTGTACCGCTGCAGTACTTGAGCACTTCTATTATTTTAATCTAAAAAGTCGACCGACTGGAAAATGATACAGCAGTTTCCCCCGGTGTCTTGGTCCGGCGGGAAGCTCGTTACCCTCTGGCGCAGGGGGTGCGGGGCGTAGGCTTACCGGAGCGAAGAACTGAATTAGGGAAGCGTCCGCTGAGGAGTTAAGAGAGCAGGAAGGCCGGTTCCCATTGTGAAAGTCAGCTGGTACTGCCCAGTGTAATACCCTGCTTTCAGTCCCGAAACTTCTGTTTGACCAAAACCCTCTTCCATGTTGAGTGTCTGCTTCAGGTTACATCCTGGAGAAAAGGTCACGCAACAGCTCCGCCTGTTCTGAGAGCAAATAAGGGTGAAATGGAAATCACGTTGCAGAAATTGGTGAGTTTCAGTATGGAATCTGGATAGCTTCTTACCCCCTTCAAAAAAATTAGTAATAATTACGATGTAACAATACACATGAAATGCTGGTATGGACAACCATCAAAGTCCATTTCAGCCACTAGGATAGGGAAAAATACATGGTTTAGAGCATGCTTTGCCTTGTAAAGCTCTCACTACTTTAAGCAGACCCTTGAAATTGGGTAGAAAAATATCACTCATATGATAGATATCTCACTGTAAAGAGACAGCCAACTTACAAGTCTTTGAAAGGTTCGTAACTCGGATGTTTTCAGCAATTCCTTTGGGATTCCAGATGCTCAGTTCCTTGAACGTTTGGCTGTAACCGGCAGACTGCCCCATGCCCGCATGGGCCATCCCGCTACAGTGTGACTCATGAGTGCCCAATCCACACAGGGCTCGCATTTCTCCAGCGGCCCTGAGCCATGCTAGCAGTGAAATAACCCAGTTGTAGCAATAACAGGGATCCCCTGGCATAAATGTATCAAAGCAGCCTCATGAGCACGGCAAAAGAGGCTGTACGTTTAGTGTTATGCAACTGGCGCAAAGGCTTCTCCATTATTTTTAATGAAGCAATGCTGATAGAACTATTAATCTTGTTGAGCAAAAGCTTTGTGAAAAAATGTCCCTGCCCGGTATGGAACATGCCAGTGGGAAGGAGGTGAAAGAAGTATAGCGTGCATTCAGCTGTTTGAGCTGCCAAAAAAGCATCCATGTTAGCCAGATACCACCCGGCAAATACAATGGGTAGATTGACTTTCTGGGAGGAAATATCTGACAAAGACGTATGGAATAGAAGACAAAGAACAAAGTATTTCATTTTGATAGAAATGTGTTTGCCATACTTATTCAGAGTTGGTCTAAGTATTCGGAATGGACTGGAATGATCCAGTAATTTCAATACAGAGTGCCTGAATAGCCCAATACATTTCAAGATGAATAAGAATCATTGACTCTTTGGCTGTAAGCCAAGGGATTTAATTTGGTGATGAAGGCGTCTGATCTGATGAAGACAAATGAGTTCTGTCCAACAATGCTGTTTGCTGGTTTTCCTCTTTCCCATGACTTACTATTTCATATTTACCTAATTAAGAACACTGTAATTTCCCTTTTTCCCCAAGCCTTGATACAGCCCAAGAATTATTTTCACAGGAAGCACTCAAACCGTAGACACGTACAAATTATACTATGAAAGTGCAATATCATCAGGCAGTATCATCAGGCTACTTGAAAGGTAGTTTTACAGGTGAAAGTTCAAACTCTTTGAAACCACCGGAAACGCAAAGACAGAAGCAACTTTGCAGAGCCTGACTTTTAACCGGGGTACGCACACTTGTCACGTCTCAGTACGCCAGGCCTCAGCCGGCCTTCCCCTGAGGGGTGTGCCGGGCCGGCGTTCGCTGCCGCCGGTACACCCTGGAGGTCGGCAGCGCCCGCCCAGGCCGCAGTTCAGGCCGCCCGCGCCTCTCGCACGCAGCAGGCCGGCCCGGGGAGGCATGTACGAGGCTGAAGGAAGAATCAAGAGTCGCCGCCCCGGCTCCGCGGAGGCCACGTTAATCTTGTACCTCAGAGGCCGCCGCCCCAGGGCGGCAACGGCCGCCCTCCGCCGCGCGC